AACTCTCAAATCTTAAGTTAGGCTAATTAAAAATTAAAATATGTTCTCTATTCCTAATTATTTTACCATTCTTCAAACCATTTGTTATATATTTTTTAAATGACTTTTCACTGTCCAACACCCCTGGCTCAGTCCTGGATGACAATTTATTCCAGATTTTAGGGGCAAAATAAGAAAACCCACAACGGTCGGACTCACAGCGCACACGGGGCATCTCCAGCATGTCATCCTGCCGTGTGCATCGGGATCGCATCTCAGAACGAGCTCTCAGTCTTACCTTCAGGTACTGAGGTCTCTCCTCTGACAGTACCCTCCGGATGATGCAGGAAGTGCGTGAAAGGCACAGGTCAGCCATAGGCAATAAGCCAAGAGATGTGAGGTCTGATGAAATTCGATCAAATTTTCGCAGATCGCAGACGTACCTGACGCACATGTTTTGCACCCTCTGCATCCGACTCATGTCTCCCAGTGATATAACATTACCATACACCGGAAGACAGTAATCAAACACAGACAGTACAAGTGCCTGCACAAGCCGAAATTTGGTGGGTTTGGGGAACAAGTCACGATGCCTGTACAGCATTCTCAGACGACCTATTGCTCTCTGGCATGCGTAACTCACATGATCAGAAAAGGAGAGCTCAGGATCGAAATGAAGCCCAAGAAGCTTGGGAGCTTTACACTCTTTGAGCGGAATTCCGCCAAGGCATACTCCAGACAGGGGCTCGGACCGAACAACCCTGCTGACAGAAAAAGTCACCAATGAACATTTGTCTCTGTTCAGCTTGATGCCATGGGACATAGACCATGCAAAGACAGAATCCAAATCAGAATTGAAATCAGTGACTGCCTGATTTGCTGGGTCAGCGTCATGCTGAAAAGCCAGCTGAGCATCATCAGCGTATGAATACAACCGACAATGACGCAAAACTCTTCTTTGCAGAACTTAAGTCTTTGCAAAACTTACTTCTTCACTGAAGGTGGTAGCCTCCATCAATCGTTTCATAGAATATCTAACTCTCTATCACACATTGTTTGGAAGAGTTAGTTGTATATTGATTACATTGAGGCCTACTATCGTCCTTTTTATTACAAATCAAATGACACTTTATTTGCAAAAATCGGATAATAAATAAAAAAAGTAATGTTGCTTTTATTATTAATAGTAAATATCAAAATGGCGGCCTTTTAAAAAACACAAAGTTAAATTCCATAGAAACTAGTAGAAAAACAAAATTTCATTAGAACTAGTGACTCGAATAAAAACTCGAAATCGTTATTTTTTTATGTTTTATTACAAATTCAAACACCCTTTATAACTTAAAATTATTGATATAACTATTTACAGCTTATCATTATTATTTACACCATCATCATTATTTACGTTAATTTAACAAAAATAATTAAGATCTTATAGTTACGGTTCTTTAAAGTATCATTACCATTAAAAGTATGTTTTCTTCCTACTAATAACGTCTAGTGACTGAACTTCACCATTAAAGGAGATGCTCAAAGTGTCCTCCAGTCGCCGGCTCATCGACTGTCTCACTCGTTCGAAAATCCCAGGCATCTCTCTAATCATTTGGCACCCATCTTCAATCCGCCCTCTGAGCTGCTCAACGTTCTCTACAGGGGTACACCATCGATTTTAACTGACCCCAAACAAAAAATCCAATCGGATTTAAATCAGGCGATCTCGCTGGCCACCACGACCCATCCACTTGTTCCTGAACTTTTCATTCAGATATATTCTCACATCAATGCTGTAGTGGGGTGGTGCACCATCGTGCATGAACCACATGTGATCCCTAACTCTTAGAGGCACATCTTCCATGACTTCCCAAAGGTAATTTTGAAGAAAATGCAAGTAGTCAAGTCCATTAAGCCTTGGTGGTAGAAACACTGGGCCAATCAAACTGTCCCCAAACATTCAATGAAAATGTATTTTGGAACCTGGATTGTTTTATCACATGAGGGTTCTCGTCTGCCCGATGGTGGGTATTGTGGAAATTCATAATGCCATTTCTATTAAATCCTGCTTCGTCAGTAAAAAGTACAGAAGCCAAGAAACCGAGATTCCTAGCACATTTACCTCTTATTTGTTCACAAAAACGTTGTCTGTTAGGATAGTCATGCTCAGAAAGAGCGTGAACTCGTTGAACATGATAGGGGTAAAGCAACTGGTTGTTCAAAACTCTCCAAACCGAGGAATGGCTAATCCTAACAGCAGACGCTAATCTTCTCGTGCTTGTAGTTGGATCTTCTTCAACAGCTCTCAATACTTCATCTTCTCCATCAATCTTTCTTGCTGTTCGTTGATTGCCCAGACCACCAGACGGAATGCCAAAGCTTCCATGTTGTCTAAGACGATCATCCACCGTTACAAACATCATTTCACTTGGAAGTCACCGGTTAGGAAAATGTTCTGCATACAAACGGTGATCTAACGCACGATTATTGTTTGCAAGGCCGTAAATCAAGTGAATATCAGCCAGTTCCACATTTGAAAATTGTACTGGCCTTTCTGTTTGTTTTCTTATACGACCACAAAGTTAAAAGCTTGTTTACATTTAACGCACAAAAGAAATGAGAATAATAACTATACTACAACAATGCGTTTCGAAATCAGCTGATTAGAGTGCACCAACTTTTTAATCCATTCACCAGTACCATTGGATTAGATGAATTACCAACTGCTTTAAGGTGAATATCTGATAAAATATTTTTCTACTAGTTTCTATGGAATTTAACTTTGTGATTTTTAAAAGGCCGCCATTTTGATAGTTACGATTAATAATAAAAGCAACATTACTTTTTTTATTTACTATCCGATTTTCGCAAATAAAGTGTCATTCGATTTGTATAAAAGTTTTCGATTTTATTTTTTTACGCCAGTTCTCATGGAATTTGACTTTGAAAACTTTTAATGGCCGCCATTTTGAGATTCGACGAGCCTGATCAATGATATTTTCGGACAATGTTTAAAGCTGTATAGTTTAAGTGTATACCATGTTTCATAAAAATATCTCCAAGGACTTTTGAGTTATAAATTATTTTCCAAAAAATACAAAATGGCGGATTATGGCTAAACTAAGTCGAAATCGAAAAAAAGCTATCCTACATTTTCGACTTATTTTGCATGTAGAATCTGAATCTGCATAGCCCGCTACGCTTTACTGAAACACCCTGTATAGTTTTTATTGCGTATGTACACAACAATTCATGAAAACAACTATTGTAGTGTAGGCACTAAAGTTGGCATTTTACGCAATCCTGAACTTTGTTTACATAGTTAATCTCATCATTACATGCTGATAGTGTCACTGATCCTTCTTTGTTCAGGGATAAGCACAGACCTCCTTTGCCTTATTCTCATGATCTATAATTTACTGACAAGTTAACCCTTTCCAAATTTAATCATGTAATCAAACAATTTGCACGTAGTAAATTTATGATGGCGCACAAAGTTGGTATACACACGGTGCACTTTTTACTTCGCGGGTAGCAATATTTCAAGACCATGTTACGATTTTCAAAGCTCATATTCGTATGCTCCAACATGAGTTCAGTAGGAGTAGGCCTAACTAAAATAATTTATATCCATCATCTTCATGGTAGTATTCATAAAAGTATTGAAAATACTCAATGGTATCTGAATATTTTATTCGTGGCTGCTGTAACAATACTGAGATAAGCTGTTTTTTAGTATGTATGCGGTTTCTTTGTTTTCCTTGTTCATTATTGTGATGTGATTGCCTCGCTAAGCCCGCCACATTTGTCAAGTGCAGAAAAGACGCATTCCAGCTCGTCCCATGATTTTTACTTCGACCAATGTAAAAGGTTTCCTCCATATCATCACAGTAATACATTAGGAGTAATAAATCCAGTCACGCTTTTGATTGATAAAAATAAGGAAATCTTACCCCTTGAATAGCAAAATAGCAGATGGAATCTATTCTCTAGGTCCATCCGGGAATCGTTTATTGTTTACACTGCGAGTATCGTCAATACTTTTAAAGTATTTTGCGCAAGTTGTTCAAGTAAGGATCGTTTCGCTTTTGTAATTTGTATGCAGCAAATTGCTTTATCTTCAAAGTCGCCGTTAACTATAGCAGTATGGAAAACTATAGAGAAAATGGTGACTTAAAAGAAAAAAAAACCTCTTTATGAGATGCTAATTGTACTAGTCATTTATTTAAATACTTTGGCTCAGTTACTGTATTTAGATAGAATCTTTGTAATTATAAATTGGACGCTGTCTAAAATAAGTTGAATATATTATTAAATACGATAATGTAGTTTCTTTAGTTAAGAATTAAATATTATTACCATATCAAAACGAATTATTACTCTTCTCCACCCAGGGTTCGTACATGAAGTATATGCTGTTGTATGAAGCTAATATAATAGCCCCAATAGCAATTTTGTCTGTAGATATAGTTGAAGTAGTTGTTGTCATCGGTTCTAGTCATATCGGATGTAGATTATAATGTAGAACCAACAATACAGTTGTATAATCTAATCTACATACGTAGATGAAGTCTCATAATATGAAATTTTTCTTGTTTCTATTATGAACGAGCGCCAAGTTAGCGTGAGGGGTGTTTTATAATTTTAAATAATTTGAATTGAGAGCAATCCTTGTACATTTTTAAATAGAGTTTTTCGGAACTTTTTAATTTGTTTACGAAAATTTGTCTAAACTAGTTATAGATGTGTAGTTTCAAAAGTTGAAGTAACTATATTTTTAAATCTCAGTTGACGGCTTTTGCTGTTTTAGAGATGATTTAAAAGCCGTCAATTCTTTACCACCTAGAAACTAACATTCACTGAAAAACTTCAAATACTTTAATTCAATTTGAAAACAGTTCATTCCTAGCTCCTTCACACTGCGGTTCATTCCTGTCATCGAAAAGAAGAATTTAAATTGTCTTTTTATTGAAACCTTTTATTATTATTATTTTATGGCCATCATTGGACCACTTAAGTCAATATAATGGTTAGATTCTTTTTAAATTCTTCCTCTTCTTCTTGTCCGTCCAATACTTCTTCATTCTTTCCGACCGTTGTTTTCTTTCTTCTTCCGAAACCACTCTTCCTTGTCTCTGATTGTTTGCTGCTATTGGCAGGATGATATTTTTGTCTTTGAGTACTGCAAGGGCCTCTGACTTATTTTCCAAATCTACTAATGATATTTTCAACCTTCTCATGTCCTCCTTAATCTCTGTAATCCACCTAAAGTCACTCTTGGTATTCCACAACTTGTCTATTATTTTCTTGCTTATTCTATTTTCCGGTGTCCTTAAAAGATGTCCAATGAATGAAATTCTTTTCTTTTTAATTATACTTGTTAATGGCTCTATTTCCTTATACACAGTTTTATTTGAGGACAGTCTCCAAACTCCATCTTTTTGATATTTTTTGTTTATACATGTTCTGATGATTCTTCTTTCTATTTTTAGTATTTTATCTATTGCTACAGTGTTAGTTGTTTTAAACATAGTTTCACTTGCATGTGTTATTTGTGGAAGTATAACTACTTTGTAGTGTTTCAATTTTGTTGCTATTGATAGGCATTTTTTGTTGTATGTGTTTTTAGTAATATGTTGCATTCTGATCAATTTATTAATTCTATTTTGCCATGATGGATTTTCTTTAAGATTGTATGTTATAAATGTATATTGATATATTATAATTGAAACCTTTTATTAATGAAAATTATTATTCTTGAGAAAATATCTATGAAACAATAATAAGTTAGACCACCGAACAACTTTATGTCTTAATTTCTTTAAAGGAGGTGAGCTGGCCAGTTTCCTTAAGCGTGTTACTAAACGAATTGATTTATAGATTTGTACTTTCTAGATAAGATTAAGAAGTGATTTTATACATACAAGTCAACTGCTCAAATGTTCAACTTGTAAACTTAAATCTTCCCTGAATCAAAATATGATGTAAATTATTTTACAAAAAAATATCGATAAAGGCAAATTTTAAATGTTGGCCTATTGTAAATCAGCGATTCAAACACTTCGATATAGCCGGATTATCGAACTCCCCAAACACGCCACTTATCTATTGTTGTACCAACGCTAGTCGAGTCAGCGCGGTCGGTTTGTGTAAGAGGATTTCCACAGTTGTATTGTTAGATGTTTAATCCTATTAGCTCCGTTGTTTAATTAAACCATCGACAAACTCACATATCTTCGGCTTTGCTTACCTCAGTTGAATGTGTCTAAGTAAAGTTGATGTTGTTAATTCAAGCTGTGAAGTATCTGGAGAAGCTTTATTTCACTTCTATTGGTACGAAAAGAATGTGTTGTGTTTTTTGTCATTCTTAAATGCCGTTTTTACGGTATATTTTATTTTCATTTTGATTAATAACAAAACCTTAATTTATGTCATAATAAAAATATGATAAATATATTATGTACTAGTGTACCTGTTGCTCGAATTTGAGAAATTGCTAGGTATTACAAGCGTTATTTTAAAACGAATAACTGTCACAATTTCTGATGACTTTAAAAGATTCGACTCAAAGATTATGGAAATACTTAAGATGATTGATATAATCAATATTTCTTGTAAATATCTTATCATTTTTCAAAAGCTGATCTTGTTTTTTAGTGTTTTCTTCAATATTACTCATAGCCGCATTAGGTCGTACATAATAACGATTATAAATATAAAAATAAATATTCTATTTCTTTTCCTTGGTGGAATTCTATGACTTTCCTATGTTTCCATAGTTTGCAAATCGGCTCTTTCAATGATTACTAAGAAATGCAGCACAGTGTTAATTCAGTTTTCTTTTTAGTATATCAAATTATCCAGGCTCTTTACCTTTTTTCCATTGTAATATTTACGCCAACCCAAATTAAAATAGTAAATATTTCATTTCAACTAAGTCAGTAAATGTTTGTAGCAAACTGTTAAATTAACAAACTCATTGACTGCTTACAACATATATTCTTCTTTTCACTTTTAATTTCTAACAACAGCTGGAGTCATTGTAATGTTTGTTTCCCATGTTAATCTTATGGAGAAATACGAAACTTTAAAGGGCCCCAGGGCCTCACTCTCTATTTATTTCTCAAAAAAGAAAGTTTCCTGCACAATTGCACGCTACGCTCTTTCCGATGACACAAAAAACATGTCAATCGGTTCAGTAGTTTCGGAGGAGTAATTGTCACAAAAAACCTGCTTGCGTATTAAATAAATAATAAATATAAAATTAATAGGCCCTAATATGGGTTCTGTACTTGGGATGTGTTAACTGTAGTTATTTTTACATGAGAAATGAGGACGAGTTCCATTATGTTCATACTTAACAAATGAATAATTCTTTAAAATAAAATTAAGGGCTAAACAATGATAATGATATACTGTATGAAGTTTTGCAAGTGTTTTATATAACTTATATACCCTATACCCAGCAAACATTATTTTATACTTTTCTATATCTTTAAGATTAACTGCTAGGTTTAAGAATCATTGGGAGATTCGAGAAATAATATCATTATTAACCTCTGATTGGAGAAGGGAATTACCTAAAGAAGAATGCACAACATTTTTTTTTTTACTCCGAGAAAGAAATAAACTGTGAAACTTCGTAGACTTTGCTCTAAGCTCACGTGCCCCGAGTGTAAAGTGAATAACTTCAAGGGCTTTGCTGTCAATTTATCTTATCGTCTGTTTTCCCTCTACAAACCCCAAGCTACAACTGACTTTAAATCTGCCCCTATGAATACTCGAGAACTGAAAAAATTGTTTTAAAATCAGTTGATTTGTTTTGTTTTATTTTTGACAGTATTTAAATATAGTAAGCATTCATTAGTTGTGATATATTTATGGTTGTATTGAAATATGGTTATATATTTCTGGTTTAAATAAATTCTTGATTGATTCACTATTTGGTTAATGCAACAATGTCACTTGTTACATGTTTGTTTTTTTCCATTTACAGCTAAATACAATTAACTTAAGCTATAATGTTTTTATTTTACCTAAACACCTTTGCTATAGCAAAAAATGATTTGCAACTTATTTTCACCTTTATTACTCTTATGTAAAATAAATACTTTGCAAATCACTATACACTAAAATTATGAAACAAATCACATTCTTTACCGACGTGAATACAAATTACCAGCCCTCTTGTAGATGTCTTTTTCTGACGTTAGATGAACATACAATAGCAACTTAGGCTTATCATATAACATCTGAGTTGATCATCTGTAGGTTTACCACGTCTTGAGGAAACAATTGAGCTCGAAAATGAGATATTGATAGGATTAACTCAGCCAAGGTTTGGTCTCAACGTTTTCTGTGTTCTTACTTTCTCCTGCCGTAAGCCAAATATAACAATTTAATTCCTCGAAAGAAACGTAGTAACGATTTAGTATATAATCTAAGTTGTTTTGAAATAAGCAGGATGGTGAAAACAAGTAAATGAAACCTGAATATAATTTGTTATCTTGAGTTGTTAAACGCTGGTTTATCCCTGATAAGTCTGTAGCTTTAGACGTTTTTAAACTAAACCAAGCTGCCTATAAAGTACTTTGTAGTTGCCTCTTGACAAAACCTTAAACTTTTTATATTTCAATGATAATTAATCTGTTATAGCTTATCGCTGCATTCTTATCAATAGTTTGCAAATGGATAGTATTAGTACACTAACACAATCATAATCTAATAGACATAATGTCTGAATCACTTATTAAACAGCTTTATTAATTATTTGTTTTTATTTTGGGTGTTTCTACGCCAGTAGTATTTTAGAATAGAATAGAATTTTCTACGTATTGAAAGGGAATAGTCCAAACACTGGTCTTGTTAATACCTAACGTCAAACGTATTGTTAGATAGCATCATTTATTCATATCCCAACGACAAAAGGCATCTGGGTTTGGAAACGATCTCGCTTGGAATAGAACCAGCGGCCGCCAGATTTGAAGGCGCGCACTATAACCACTCGGCTACCCAGACAATTATTCAGCTGAATGTTTGCTGTAGTGAAATTAGAAACTAGGAAAGTTGTTTTGAGGGATTTTTTTACATGAACAACTTTTTGGTTTTGTAACTTAGGTATTTTAAGTAATGGTGAAAAATTACGAAAAATACTGTCCATCACATTGACAAAGACAGTTTTTGCAAACTTCGCTCATTTTCCAAAACTAAGACTTGGGTTAAACGAGTCACTTTACACCCAAGTGATGGAATATCTTATCATCACCTCCTATTTCATAAAACAGTGAATCCACAACACTAAACCTTCAGTATTTCAAACCACATTTTAACGCAGCAAGACAAGTGGCTGTTAGTGCAGAGGCTGTAAGTGACATAAACGAGACATCACTTGTCGCTAAGTGACTTTTATAGACTGTCTGGTTGATAAACTCCACCGAGATCACTTCATTACCACAAACTTATCAGATTATCTCATCATTTTGTTCAAATAGTGCTTTTAAGTTTACCAAGTCTAAGCATTGAGGTTGGAATTATTATGATTGAGGTTGAAACATTGGCTATTTAAATTTTACACTGTAAGAGATGCGGGAAATTATTTTATTTTTTAAAGATCTATACTTAAGTAAATGTGATGATGACTGAAAATATTTAAAAAATTATAATAAATAATGTAACAAATATGCATACGGTTCTATATACAGGGTGAATTGTACTCAGTGTGACAACATTTTTTTGGTGTAAGTACAAAGTAAATGAAGTGTGATGATGCATATCAAATGTTCCAAGTCTAAAAATTAGCTTCCCAAAAAATTATTTTATGTTTTTCAAACATAACCATGTATTTAAACTTAATACAGCGATTTCTCAATTACCTGTAAATGGATTTGAGTAGATAATGTAATTTTCGTGTTCTACATTAAATTTTGAACAAGAATAATAGAAAATGACGGAGGATCAGTTGTAAAAACTCCATTGTAAATAGATTCAAAGATAAAAATTAAGATGTTTGATAAAAATTGTAAAAACAATGGTCTATTGCATTTTTCACACCCTGTATACAAGAAAGTGTCGGAGTATGTTAAAAACTGCGCCATTTTATAAGCTTTCCAACGATATGCTACACTATTGAGGTTTATGTATGCCTATGTACGCTTTAATGGTTTGAAGACTACAAAGCATGGTGTCTTTAACATTTAAAACATAGAAAGTCGGCATTTATTAAGCAAAAGTTGTATTTTTGATTCAGCTTGAACA